CCGCCGTCCGGAATTTCACCGAGGAACTCTCACATATGATAAGTTCCTTCGTGACTTGCTTCCATCTCGCATTGTGTTCATTTTTACACGTGTCGCAACCATGTTAAAAACTTCTATTAGTGCACATACACCTTCTGATTTGTATTATGGCTATCACCACCTGAGCACTAATAATTGGTGAGCCCAACGTTTGTGAACTCACGTAACTTCTGATATTTTTTCATCTGATCTGCCATATAGTACTATTTCTACTCATGCCTGGCACACCTACGTGTCAGTCACCAAACTCCTTATTACCTCAGCCAAATATCAACGCCGCATCTGTTCACCTACCTCCATTCTGTCAACATGATCCGTGCATTTGGTTTACTCAAGTGCAAGCTCAATTTGCGCTTAGAGGAATCACCCAGGAGCACACTATGTATTACCATGTTTTATCAGTTCTACCTCCTGAAATAGCGGCTGGGATATTTCTCCGATATTTAAGCAGTGCCACCATTCGGTCTGATGTCCAAGGCTTGAGGGTGCCTGGTAGAGCCGTGTCACAAGCAAAATTCTCAGCACTACCTCTTCCCCGTATGGGTTCCCTTCTGATGGCGCAGCATAATGCTCCAACACCTGCGGCGTCCATCGTTCAAACACTGAAAGTGGTCGAAATATGTTCCTGCGAATGACATGTGAGAGTAATATCCGCTTAAAGTATTTTACGGAGCCATTACGATAACCGATGGAAATTTGGTTACGAATACATTGAACTTTTAACCTAACTCATTGGTTATTGCTAGAGTACAATATCGAGAGGCTCTCCTTTATTCTCATGGACTTGTGCAGCACGACCTTCACGTTCACATCCTTCACGTGATGAGTTAGTATGTTTTTATTATCGGGATTCGGTCGTTTCAGTGATCCTTTCCTTGTGATCGCTCACTTTAAACTGCAATGTGCATGATGTGAAAAGGAACGCGCAAGGGCTTCTCGGAAGCCGTAAACTGGCTTCTATTAAAATGTCACAATTTTCACGCAGCACTCAAACGTGCCCCAAACTCGCTTGGCGAATATATTCGTGCATAAATTTTCAATTGATGAGATGCACGTTGTGAACCTAAAATTGTTGTAAATTTCCAAAAACAGATGAGCCTCAGATCCAGAGATTGGAATTGCGAACACCAGCGCTCGCTTGCTGGTTTCACTCCAAGATATGAAAATAACACAATTGTATCCTGTCTTGCCTAGCTTGCTCACAAAACTAAGCCGTGACTTCACGAGACTTTCAAGGTAGAGATGCATTCAATCCGTGTATATCTGAATCAAGTTGTGTTTCCGTCCTCAGTGGATCAAGTTGGAATGTAGCCCGTTATGACACACAATTGTAACACAATTGTATCCTGTCTTGCCTAGCTTGCTCACAAAACTAAGCCGTGACTTCACGAGACTTTCAAGGTAGAGATGCATTCAATCCGTGTATATCTGAATCAAGTTGTGTTTCCGTCCTCAGTGGATCAAGTTGGAATGTAGCCCGTTATGACACACAATTGTAACACAATTGTATCCTGTCTTGCCTAGCTTGCTCACAAAACTAAGCCGTGACTTCACGAGACTTTCAAGGTAGAGATGCATTCAATCCGTGTATATCTGAATCAAGTTGTGTTTCCGTCCTCAGTGGATCAAGTTGGAATGTAGCCCGTTATGACACACAATTGTAACACAATTGTATCCTGTCTTGCCTAGCTTGCTCACAAAACTAAGCCGTGACTTCACGAGACTTTCAAGGTAGAGATGCATTCAATCCGTGTATATCTGAATCAAGTTGTGTTTCCGTCCTCAGTGGATCAAGTTGGAATGTAGCCCGTTATGAGAGTTTAAACTCGTGAAAACCAAATCGAAACAGAAGAGAGTGTATTAGCCCAACTATGTTAAATTTTGGTTCAAGTAGAATATTAACTTGACGACAACTCGTGGACGGCACCTAACCGGT